CGACCCTGGGAGTTTACGAAACAGCCCTGCCCTGCCCGATTCCTTCATGTAGGGGGCCACATGCGAACCCTACCCCTACCCCCTACGATTTCTGGGGGAGCGAGCGAAGTGAACCCCACCCTCCCCCTCAGAAATCGTGGGGGGTAGGGGTAGGGTTCGCATGTGGCCCCCTACCATGTGCGTTTGCGAAATGGCTTCGCTTCTCGGGGGGCGTACGACGAGGGTGGTGCGTCTGCCGTCTATCAATGTGGCAGGAGGGCGGCCCGATCCCCTGCTCCGACGAAGGCCCCCATCCACCGAGTAACTCATCGGGGCGGCGCTGATGTCTGGTCGGCCCTGCCCGGATCGCGAACGGTCTTCTCATGAGGAGATTTTTTCCAGTGGGAGGATCAGGGCTCGAGGATCGAGTCCTCCTCGTGCCTGGTTTTTCCCCAACTAGAGGCCTGCCTATAAGGGGTCCCTACTTGGTCAAAGGTTGGTGCCTGCTCATGTCTCCTTGCCCGTTCCTCGGAGGTTCCCCGGAGGTTCCCCGGGTTCCCCGGCTTCCCCGCCCCCGGTGCCTCCTACTGTTACGGTGCCCGCTCCTCGGAGGTTTCTCGGGTTCCCGGGGGTTCCTCGGGGTCCCCGCCCCCGGTCTTGTTCCCTTGCCTCCAGTTCCTCGGGTTCCCCCGTCTTGTGCCTAAAGGTTCCCCAGTCTCGTTCCCTGCTTGGGTTCCTCGGGCTCTCTCGTCGTGCTCCTTGCTTTGGTTCCTCGGGCTCCCCCGTCTTGTTCCTCGGGTCCCCTAGGCTCCCCCGTCTTGTTCCCTGCCTGGGTTCCTCGGGTTCCCCCGTCTTGTTCCTCGGGCCCCGCGGGTTCCCTGGTCTTGTTCCTTCGGCTGTTCCTTGCTTCAGTTCCTCGGGCTCCACCGTCGTGTTTTATGTTTTTTTTTTTTTTTTTTTTTTTTTGTTTTTTGTTTTTTTGCTTTTGTTTTTTTTTCATCGGGTTCCCCCATCTTGTTTCTCAGGATCCCGGAGTTCCCCCGTCTTGTGCCTTGCTTGGGTTCCTCGGGTTCCCCGGTCTTGTTCCCCGGGCCGTCCGGCATCGCAAAGCAATGCCAAGCAATGCCAGGCAACACAAAGCAATGCCAACACATGCACACCAGTACCACGGAAATGCCAAACAGTGCCGACCAACGCCAAGCAGAGCCACGCAATGCCAAGCAATGCCAAGCGACGCCAAGCAATACAAAACGTCGCCAAACAGCGCCAGGCAACGCGCCAACATTTTCCCCTCCAATGGGGCCGCGCCGGCTTCGTGTTCCTGCCTCTCGAACAACCTCGTCGCCACGGCTGGATCCGCCTGTCGGAATTCTGCTCGGAGCGCACCCCAGGAGGAGCAGGAGAAGCAGGAGGAGGAGGAGGAGGAGGAGGAGGAGGAGGAGGAGGGGGAGGAGGAGAAGGGTCCGGATCCCCTGGGCGCCGTGGAAGCTGCACCGGCGGGAGGGGAGGCTCCCTTCGGGCCTCCTGCCTGGCCCCCGGCTCGGGGGGAGGGGCGGGCCCCAGGGGGAGGGGATCGGGATGCCCATGGGGGCCTGCGTCGGGAGCAGCATCGTCGCCCCGCAGGGAGAGGAGGGGGGGACTTCGGCATTCTCCCCTCGCTTCCGCCCGCGGGGCCTCCGCCACGGGGGGCCCTCGTGGTTGCCACGGGCCAGGCTCGCCCTCGGGGCCGCCCTGGCCGCCGAGGCCGAAGCGATCTTCTGGGAGCAGGTGTGGCATACGAGCTCCCCGGGACGTCCTCGCGTTGTGAAAGCAGCGCGTTTTTTTTTTTTTTTTTTTTTTTGTCGTCGTCGTCGTCGTCGTCGTCGTCGTCGTCGTCGTCGTCGTGGTTGTTGTTGTTGTTGTTGTTGTTGTTGTTGTTGTTGTTGTTGTTGTTTGTTGTCGTTGTCGTTGTCGTTGTTGTTGTTGTTGTTGTTGTTGTTTTTGTTGTTGTTGTTGTTGTTGTTGTTGTTGTCGTTGTCGTTGTCGTTGTCGTTGTCGTTGCTGTTGTTGTTGTTATTGTTGTTGTTGTAGCTGTTGTTGCTGTTGTCTCCGTCGTCGTTGTTGTTGTTGTCGTTGTTGTTGTTGTTGCTGTTGTTGTTGTCGTTGTTGTTGTTGTTGCTGTTGTTTTTGCTGTTGTTGTTGTGGTAGTTGTGGTTGTTGTTGTCGTCGTTGTCGTTGTCGTTGTCGTTGTTGTTGTTGTTGTTGTTGTTGTTGTTGTTGTTGTTTTTGTTGTTGTAGTGGTTGTTGTTTGTTGTTGTTGTAGTGGTTGTTGGCACTGGTGAGAACGGAGTGTCCCCACGTGCTAGTAATTGTTGCTGTTGAACATTATTAATTCTAAAGAATAATTATTGTTGGGCCCCCTGGTGCGCGCCCCCCCTGCGCCGCCTAGGCCGCAGCTACATTTTCATCATTTTCGTGAGGAAGCCTCAGAAAAGAGGGTGTGTACAGGATCCGGTTGTTTTGTTGTAATCCGCTTTCCCTTGCAAAAAACAATAGAAAATGACATTTCTTGTTCTAATATAATCAAATTTCAAGAATCCCTTGCAAAAAATAAGGTAAAGTGGACATTCGCGCGCGCAAGACGAAATCCTTCCAAAACCTTAGTGTTCGTAGCGATTTTAACATAAAAACATCAAAAAACCAATGGTTTTTCAACAAAAAAATGTCAAAATCTCATCCCGCGCGCTCTTGCGGATTCGTAGGAAACCCAACACTTTTTAAACATTTCTGTCAAACGGGCTTTTGCGAGCAACTTTTTCGAACTTCTGCAACAACGGTTGCGCACCTGCCAGGGCCATCATCCCTGTCAAATAATACCATGCGGGACACATTCGTTTTTTCTTCGCGCGCGCACGCCGTCGTCGTCGGCCGCGGGGCCCTGAATAGTAGCCACGGTCGTCCGCATGCCACGAAGTGAAGTGTCCGAACGTCATAGGGCGGGAAGCTGGGTGTGGGTGGTGGCGAAGAGTCGTTTGGAAATTTGGTAGAGCTTGAACCGGCCCCCCCACAAAGTGGGGGTATTGCCCGCCTCCTATGAAAACCCTGGCACTGGTGAGAACGGAGTGTCCCCACGTGCTAGTAATTGTTGTTGTTGTTGTTGAACATTATTAATTCTAAAGAATAATTATTGTTGGGGCCCCTGGTGCACGGCCCCCCTGCGCCGCCTAGGCCGCAGCTACATTTTCATCATTTTCGTGAGGAAGCCTCAGGTAATTCGATGTGATCAAGATCCGGTTGTTTTGTTCCCCCCCGCTTTCCCTTGCAAAAAACACTATAAAATGACATTTCTTGTTCTAATATAATCAAATTTCAAGAATCCCTTGCAAAAAATAAGGTAAAGTGGACATTCGCGCGCGCAAGACGAAATCCTTCCAAAAGCTTAGTGTTCGGAGCGATTTTAACATAAAAACATCAAAAAACCAATGGTTTTTCAACAAAAAAATGTCAAAATCTCATCCCGCGCGCTCTTGCGGATTCGTAGGAAACCCAACACTTTTTAAACATTTCTGTCAAACGGGCTTTTGCGAGCAACTTTTTCGAACTTCTGCGACAACGGTTGCGCACCTGCCAGGGCCATCATCCCTGTCAAATAATACCATGCGGGACACATTCGTTTTTTCTTCGCGCGCGCACGCCGAAATCTCCAAAAACCATTGGGTTTTTAAGAATTTTAGCACCGCGCATCATAAAATCACACGAATCGCACCGTAGGTCCTCGAAAAACACCTGCACGACTTTTCAAAATTTCTACCCGCGCGCGCTGTCCGAATCCTAAAAAAACCAATGGTTTTCCAACATTTATGTTACATGAGCTCGCGCGAGCTACTTTCGCACGCTCTTGCAACGGGGTTCGCGCGCCTGCCAGGGGCCAGAATCCCTTGCGGTTGCGCCATAGGTACATGAGCTCGCGCGAGCTACTTGCGCGGACCCCAAGCGGCGCCAGGAGGCTTCCCCCCTTCCCCAAGAGGACCAATAAGTGACCCCGAATAAGTGACCAAGTTCTGTGGGTGTGTACCCCACGCCAGTGTAGTAGCCACGGTCGTCCGCACGCCACGAAGTGAAGTGTCCCAACGTCATAGGGCGGGAAGCTGGGTTTGGGTGGTCGCGAAGAGTCGTTTGGATATTTGGTAGAGCTTGTAATGCCCCCCCACGAAGTGGGGGTATTGCCTGGTGTCGTATGAAAACCCTGGCACTGGGGAGAACACTACGTGTTTGGGTAAAATGATTGTTGTTGTTGTTGTTGTTGTTGTTGTTGTTGTTGTTGTTGTTGTTGGTGTTGTCATTGTCGTTGTTGTTGTTGTTGTTGTTGCTGTTGTTGTTGTTGTTGTTGTTGTTGTTGTCGGTGTCGTCGTTGTTGTTGTTGTTGTTGTTGTTGTTGTTGTTGTTGTTGTTGTTGTTGTTGTTGTTGTTGTTGTTGTTGAATATTATTACTTCTAAAGAATAATTATTGTTGGGCCCCCTGGTGCACGCCCCGCCCGCCGCGCCTAGGCCGCAGCCACATTTTCATCATTTTCGTGAGGAAGTCTCAGGCAAAACGGGGGAGTCCGGATCCGGTTGTTTTGTTGACGCCCGCTTTCCCTTGCAAAAAATAAGCTAAAGTGGACATTTCTTGTTCTAACATAACCAAACTGCAAGAATCCCTTGCAAAAAATAGGGTAAAGTGGACATTCGCGCGCGCAAGACGAAATCCTTCCAAAACCTTAGTTTTCGTAGCGATTTTAACATAAAAACATAACATCGACGGATCGAGATCCGGGGAGTATGAATGTGCTCAGGAGGTGAGGCCCCAAGTGCGATCTTTCCGTAGCTTTTGGGTTCAGGCCTTGTGCGATCCGGCGCGCGCGCGCGCGCCTGCTCAGGCATTCCCCCGCCTCATCTTCTTGCACTTGTACATCTTCATTTACAACTTCATCTTCAAGGTCAGTTTTGTTTACTTCCTGTTCGAGTACCTGTTGCTCGGGTGCCCCGGCGCGCACCCCGAGGGGCAGAGATGGCCCGGAGCGGCGCCCTCGGGCCTTGGACCGGCCCGGAGGTCGACGCAGCGTACGCCAAGCAGGCTACGTGGACTCCGGGCGACATCCTTGAGGTCACTCTCTCCCACGGCGGGGGGGAGGCCGCAGGGACGGGCATCTTGGCGATCACCGAGCACCTCGAGGGCCGCGTCTTCAGGGGCAAGATGATCGATTGCGAGGACGCCTACTACCACTGGTGGCTCTTCGAGGACCAGGGCGGCGCCCGCAACCCAGGGCACTACCGGGTTTGCACCGGCGCCAAGGACGACAACCAGCTCCGCTACAAGAAGGAGCCGGTCACGGCAGTCTCCCGCTGGCGGGTCCTGAACGCAGAGGGCCTGAGCCCGGACCTCGGCGTGGTGCCGTGGCTCGGCGGGGAGCGCCTCGGAAAGGCTGCCGCCGCCGCGGAGGCTCTCCGGGGCGGCCGCGCGGGTTCGCCCCGGCGCTCGCCGCCGCCGCGCCGGTCGCCGGCCGGCCGTCGCGACGGCAGCCAGGCGGCGGCGGGAGAGCGCCGCGGGGCGGGCGGCGCCGACCTCGGCGGAGAGTCGGGGGGCGGCGCGGACCGCGGGGTCGGAGGCGAGCGGGGCGGCAGGCCCGACCCCGCGGACGGCCCGCACGGCAACGCAGCCCGCCCGCGCCTGGTCCCGCGGCCAGGCGGCGGCGACGTCGAGGGCGACCTCCGCTCTCTCGAGAGGCACCTCGAGCGCGGCGCTGGCCACAAGCGGCAGGGCGCGCGCGAGCGCCGGCGGGGCGGCGACGGCGACGGCCGCGAGGGCGCGCGGGGCGACGAGGGCGCTCGCTTCCACGGCGCACCCACCCCTCCGGCGGACCGTCGCGAGGACGCTCGCGGCGTGTCGCCCGCGGCGGAGAGGGGCCGCCGGGACCGCGCCCGCGACGCAAGCGTGCGCGCCAGGCGAGGCGCCAGCCCGCGCAGCCGCGGGCGCTCCCGGGACCGTAGCCGCAGGCGCTCCCAGGACCGCAGCCGCAGGCGCTCGCGGGACCGCAGCCGCGGGCGCTCCGACGGCCGGGGCGCCGCGGGCAGCGGGGGCAGGCGCGGCGACGTCCCGGAGGTGGCCGGCGACGGCGGCACCCGCGAGGTGCGCTGCGCGGACCCGCGGGCGCGGAGGCCCCCCCAGGGCTTCCGCAGCGACCCGCAGGAGGGCGACCGCGCCAGGAGGGGCCGCGCGAAGAAGCGCTCGCGCTCGCGCTCGCGCTCGCGGCAGCGGAGGGGGCGGTCCGGGAGTCGGGGCCGTTCCGAGTCGTCGACCTCAGTTTTTCACTGGGCCTCGTCGTCGAACGGGGGGCGGTCGTCCCAGGCCCGCCTCATCGACTGGGCGCGCAAGCACCCCGGTCGCCTGGCCGCGCGGTCCCTCCAGACCATGGAGGACCGGACGGGCAGGGACGGCGAGGCGGGCACCTGGGAGCCGACGGACACGCCAGCGTCCGCGAAGGCCTACTACCTGAGGGTCTTGAAGTCGACCTCGGCAGGGGTCCGCAACCTCCGCGAGATGAACACCATCTGCGCGGCGCTGGACCACCTGGCGCTGGGGCGGACCAAGAGCTGCGCCGACCTGCTCACCCAGCGTCTCAAGGCGGTCGAGATGGCAGCGACGGAGGGCCATTGGGACCGCGCCCAATACCTCGAGTTGCTCGAGTCGGACACGGTGTCCCTCCGCACCAAGGACGAGGAGTACATGGTCACGAAGGAGCAGGAGCTGGCGCAGAGGGTCCGGGGCCACGAGAAACCTACCTACGCCGGCGCTTGGCCGAAGTCCGGGCCCGGCAAGGGCTACCAGGAGTACTACCAGGACAAGAAGGGGGAGGCAAAGGGCAAGGAGAAGAAGGGCAAGGGCGACGCGAAGGGGGACAAGGGCCGGCGCAAGTAGGGGCTTCCGGAGGCGGGTGGCTCGAGGCGGCATTCGCGCACGCAGCGGCTGCCAGGCTGCAGGGGGCCGGCTCCGTCGAGGAGTGGGCCGGCGCTGTGGCCGCGCTGAGCGGGGGCATCGCGTCTTCTCGGCAGTCCGTGCACCTCCTCGCCCTGGCGGGCAGGTACAACCCCACTCGTCTCGGCTGTTTTGAGCGTCTCCTGCGCGTGGAGTCGGCCGGGAAAAACGGTTCCGCAGCACCTCCAGCGCCCCCTGCGAGCCAGGCCCCCTCTCCCAGCAGCGTCGGCTCATCACGTCCATCATCATCATCATCGCCTCCCTCTTCTTCGGTGATTTTGGATCAACGCGGGGATCTCCTACCTATCGGCCCTGCTCTGGCGGAGGCGCAGTTCCGCAACTTCGCCGCGCGGTCCGCCCTTCCTCCGGGGGGCCGCGAGGCGGCGGTGCAGGTGGCGTTGGGCGTCGTGCTCGGCCTCAATTTCCTCGCCTGCGCCGGGTGGACCGCGACCCCCATCTGCTTGGGGGCGTCGGCCGCCCTTTCCCCGGCCCAGGGTGCGTCGGTGCAGCACATTTGGGCTGGGGTCGTCGATTTCGTGGAGGCAGGGCCTTACGATTTCGACTTCGCACGGGTGGCGGAGGAGATCCAGTCGATAAGGGTTTCGTATTCTGGGGAGGCGGTTTCCAGGCGCAGGAGCTTGGTCGCCTCGCTCGTCGTGCCCGTGTGGCCCAAGCCAGGCCACGCCTGCGTGCTCGCCGTGGAGGACTTCTTGCCAGAGGAGCTGAAGGACGACATGCTCGACCCTCGGAGGTGCTTGTTGCCGCGCTCGCAGTGGCCGCTCGTCACGCCCAGGTCCACAGTGCACGCCTCCACGGCCGAGTGGTACTCGTTGGTGAAGGCCGCGGCCACCCTGGGCTTGTTCGAGGAGGTGGAGGAGGAGGACATTTTTAGGAACCAGTTCGGGGACCTCATTTTGGGCGGTGCCATGGGCGTGGATAAGGTCAAAAAGGTCGGCGAGAGCACCGAGGTATTCTTGAGGTTTATCTGCATATTTTGTCCGATAAACACATGCATGCGCCGTCTGCGAGGAGGTAGCGACCTGCTCCCGTTTCTCGGCCAGCTCGGGTTGGTTCTGCTTGGAGAGGGAGAGACGTTCTCGGTGGACTCGGAGGATATGGAGTCTTGCTTCAACATCTTTCGTGTCCCTCCGGCCTGGCGCGGCTACTTCGCCTTCTCCAAAAAGGTGTCCCGCGCCGCCTTCGGCGGCCCTGCTGCTGAGGAGACGTGCGTGTGCATCCGCTCTGTCCCCATGGGGTGGATCGGAGCCGTCGACATCATGCAGGCCCTCGCACGGCGGCTGGTGTACGAAACCGTCCCCGTCGACGGGGCCACAGAGTTGCGGAAGGACGCCCCTGTCCCCACAGGCGACGTCTCCTTGGTCTGCATGGGCGGCTTCGACTACGTCTCGCGGGTGCGGGGGCTGCTTGATGCAATGGGTCCCGGCTCAGCGGAGGGCTCTGGGTCGGTCCCGCATCGCCGCTTCGTAGACGTATGCGGCCGCCTTCGCATCCCGTTGAACGTCGGCAAGTCTGTTGTGGATTCCCTTCGGACCGGCATTCTGGGAGGGGATTTGGACGGGCTCCGTGGCTGCCTCCTGCACAGCCGGCTGAAGGGCCACGCTTTGGCCGGGAAATCCTTGGTTCTAGCTTCCACCCGGAGCTGGACGCAGGGGGCCTTGCAGCACTGGGCTGGGCTTTTCGGTTTTGCGGCGGGCTTCAGGCGGCCATTGTACTCCGTGCTCCAAGAGGTGTTTCCTTTCCTGGCAGACAGCAACTGGGACCGTGTGGTTGCCCAACCGCCGCCCGATGATGTACTTTCGGAGGTGCTCGTGGGCGGCCTCCTGTTGCCGATGGCTTTCGTCAACCTGCGAGCCCCGGTGCGGCCGCTCATCGCGTGTTCGGACGCCTCCGAAGAAGGGGCCGGGGCGGCCGTGGCTTCGTCGTTTGTCGACGCACTCGCGCCGGGCGTGGGTGAACAGGCCGAGGACTGGGCAGCCGGGGAGGCCGAGGAAAGCCACCGGGCGTGTTCCCCCGCGAGGGCGGGGGCCCCTGGGGCTTGCTCGTCGTGCGGCGGGTGCGAGGCAGCATTTGGCAGCTGGGCTAGGTGCCCGGCGGGGTGCGCTCGCATCTTCTGCTCCCTTCCGTGCCTCTTAAGGCATAGGGAGGCCCCCTGCGAGTCCCTGCGTGCCTGCGGGCCAGCCTTCGGCGAAGGTTTCTCTGGGGCCAGGGCCCCCCTTTCCTGGGCCGTGGCCGCGGAGGACGTCCCCGTGTTGCGCCCGTGCGACCGCTCCTTCGACAGCGACACCGGCCGGGCCGGCTTCTCTGAGGCGGGCGGCAAGTCGGCGCTCGAGCGGTTCGACGGCGAGGGCGTCGCTTTTGAGCACTGGAACCCGGGCTGCCCTCTGGTGTCCCCTTGGGGGGGGCCCGCAGGGGGGTGCCTCCCGCCTCGCACAATGGCCCGGGGGCGGAAAGCTATCGCTACAGTTTGTGGTGCTCTTTCCCGTCTCCGTTGGAGAGTATCGAATTCGGGCGTGGGCGTCGTGGGGCACCCTGGGAGCAGCTGGGGGTGGGAGCTCCCGCAGGCCAAGTCTCTGGCTGCTCTTCCAGGTATCTTCTTCACGGTGTGGTGGGCATGCTGCCATGGAGGCAGGCGCAAACGTCGCGTGGCTTTCCTGCGCAATTGCGCCCCCCTCCACGCCGCGCTCCACGCCCCCGCTTGCCCCGGCCACCCGGGGAGGGCTGACCGACGAGGAGCAGGAGGGCACCGAGGAGGGGGATTTCGAGGAGGAGACGAATTTTACGACGACGAGTTTTACGAGGACGAGCACTACGAGTATTACGACATGATCGGTGTTACGGAATACCCGTTTCTGCTCTGTCAGCGGTACGCGGGCATCGTCAAGCTCGTAGTTGACGAGATTGGCCTAAAGTCTCTCCCTGCACAGCCGTCGTCGCGTCTTTCCTGGCTCTGGGGCGCTCTCGTCAGCTCGACGGCGCGGTTGGCCAAGGGGGGGGTCATCGCTGAGGCTATCCCGTACCTCGACGCGCTCCTGCACGCAATGGTCCAGGGGAAGGAGTTGGATCACCTGCACGAACTTCTCCGACATGCTGATTATCGTGGCTCCGATGTTCGGCTCGTTTCTGGCCAGCTGGTCGACGGGTGCCGCCGCGAGTTCCCGTGCCCAGCCCCGGCCTGGCGGTGGGAGACTATCATGGCATGCCCTTGGCGCCAGCAGCAGCACATCAACGTGTTAGAATTCATTGCATTTTTGGTGTGCTTCCGACGGGTGGTTTTGGACCCGACCCCGAAGCCCATTCCCATCGGTATTTCCACATCTTCGACAGCCGCGTGGCGGCTTGCATTGCAACAAAGGGCCGCTCCAGCGCCCGGGTGCTCAATCGTCCTGCCAGGCGGTTGTGCGCCTTCTCGATTGCCTCCGACATGTACCTGTTAGCCTTGTGGACGGTCAGCGGTTGGAACTCTTCAGATGCAGCCAGCCGGCTGCACACCTCGCGAAACAATGGGAAAGCGGACTAGGAGGCTCCAAGGGCCCCGCAAGGCGCATATCAGGTACGAGGCAATCACCACTGGCACAATTCACCGGTACGAGGTGGCAATTCTCCGTTTCTTCCAATTCCTTCGGCTACATGACCGAGTCTACCCAGCAACCCTGGCGGAGCTCGACGTGGAGGTGAGCGAGTTCATCAACCATTTGTACCAGGACGACTCCCCGTTGTATTGGGCAACTGATTTGGTATGCGGGTTCAAACGGTTCTATCCTAAGTGTAAGAGCCATTTGGATACATCCAGCCAGTATCTCAATAACTGGACCCGGGCAGTTCGGAGGACGCGTGCTCTACCTCTCCCAGCGGACGCTTGCCTTGCCATGGCCAGCATTTCCCTGCTCTGGGGGTGGCCGCGGTTTGGCCTATCGCTGCTGTTGGGGTTCCTGGGGCTCCTCCGCACTGGCGAGATCCTGTCCATTATGAAGAAGCAGGTATCCATATTGGGCGGCGGCTCCCTACTGGTCATTGCCCTCCCCAACAGCAAGGGGGCAAATCGGCAAGGCAGGCCGGAGTATGTGCGCATCCACGACACTGAAGTGATCAGGGCTGTGGCTCTTCTGCTGGGGTCCCTGAGCCCCGACGAGAGGCTGTTCCCTGGCGGGTTCAGGCGGTTCTCGCAGCTGCTCGAGGCCACAGCCAAAGCCATCGGCATCGCCCACCCTAACCTCGCGCCCTACACGCTGCGCAGGGGCGGCGCCACGTGGCACTTCGGTATTTTTTTGTCTTACGACGCAACGCAAGAGCACGGGCGTTGGCACCATCGAACAACGGCTAAAATCTACATCGACCAGGCTACTGCTGAGATGAGCGAAATTGCAATTTCAGCTGACAAGCAGAAGGTCCTCGAGTGTGCCATTCGGGTGTTGCCTGCTCTTCTTCGCGACCCTCTGCAGCAAGCTCCTCGCCCCTCCCCTGCCCCTGTCCCCCCCGTTCCCATTCATCCCAGGCACTGATCCCTTGCGCCTTTCTTCCTGGCCTGTCAGGTTGGGGCACTTGGGGCCTTTGTGTGTCTGGGAGGTGGGGTGGGGATGGGGTAGGTGGGTGTGTGTCTTGGGCGCAGCCTTATCCTGTTGAAGGTGCGGCGGCCCAGGCACCGGTGGGGCTGGTCCGTGCGGCCTCGGAGGCCGCCCCGGGCCCTGGGCAGTCCCTCGAGGGGTTTGGCCCAGTACCCAGCCTCTTGAGGCTAGGGCAGGCGGCCAGGACGGTCTTAACCCCCTGGTGGCGCTACAGAGCGCTCCCTGCCACGACATCTACCTCGTGCACACGTTCGGCTTCTGACCGGGCCAAGGGGCCCGCCCGTGAGCCGGACGCGCAAAACCTCACCGGGGGAAAAACATTCATAACGTCGACGGATCGAGATCCGGGGAGTATGAATGTGCTCAGGAGGTGAGGCCCCAAGTGCGATCTTTCCGTAGCTTTTGGGTTCCTCCTCCTCCCCGCCTCCGCCGCGTTTGCCTCCTGAGGCTGCGTGGGGGTGGTGTGTGTCTTGGGCGCAGCCTTATCCTCTTGAAGGTGCGGCGGCCCAGGCACCGGCGGGGCTGGTCCGTGCGGCCTCGGAGGCCGCCCCGGGCCCTGGGCAGTCCCTCGAGGGGTCTGGCCCAGTACCCAGCCTCTTGAGGCTAGGGCAGGCGGCCAGGACGGTCTTAACCCCCTGGTGGCGCTACAGAGCGCTCCCTGCCACGACATCTACCTCGTGCACACGTTCGGCTTCTGACCGGGCCAAGGGGCCCGCCCGTGAGCAGGACACACAAAACCTCACCGGGGGAAAAACATTCATAAAAAACAATGGTTTTTATAAAAAACTTGTCAAAATTTCATCCCGCGCGCTCTTGCGGATTCGTAGGAAACCCAATTTTTTTAAACATTTCTGTCAAACGGGCTTTTGCGAGCAACTTTTTCGAACTTCTGCAACAACGGTTGCGCACCTGCCAGGGCCATCATCCCTGTCAAATAATACCATGCGGGACACATTCGTTTTTTCTTCGCGCGCGCACGCCGTCGTCGTCGGCCGCGGGGCCCTGAATAGTAGCCACGGTCGTCCGCATGCCACGAAGTGAAGTGTCCGAACGTCATAGGGCGGGAAGCTGGGTGTGGGTGGTGGCGAAGAGTCGTTTGGAAATTTGGTAGAGCTTGAACCGGCCCCCCCACAAAGTGGGGGTATTGCCCGCCTCCTATGAAAACCCTGGCACTGGTGAGAACGGAGTGTCCCCACGTGCTAGTAATTGTTGTTGTTGTTGTTGTTGTTGTTGTTGTTGTTGTTGTTGTTGTTGTTGTTGTTGTTGTTGTGGTTGTTGTTGTTGTTGTTGTTGTTGTTGTTGTTGTTGTTGTTGTTGTTGTTGTCGTTGTTTTGCTCTGTTTTCAGCTTTTGGCTTCTGGGGGTTCTTGCCAGGCCCCGGGACTGTCCACGCACGTCTCGGGATGGAGAGGCGGCCCCGGGGAATCGGTCTGTAGACCTGCACGGTTCCACGTGGTCCAGAAGCCATGTGGCGTCGGATGTCTGGCACTCCTTCCCCCTCCTCCTCCTCCCCCTCCTCCTCCTCCTCCTCCTCCTCCTCCTCCGCCTCCGCCTCCTCCTGCTCCTCCTGCTCCTCCTCCTCCTCCTCCTCCTCCTCCTCCTCCTCCTCCTCCTCCTCCTCCTCCTCCGAACAGAAATGCAGCATCGGGAAAAACCACGACTGGAGCCCTGGACCCAATCTGTCTGCACAGTGTCTCGAGCCAGGTCGCTCTGTGAGGGCTCTGGGGCCCGAGGCCAGGCGAGAACGCCTGGCTCGAAGAATTCAAGACGCCCAGATCTCAGGGTCCCTTTCCTCCTCCTTCTCCTCCTGCTTCCCCTCCTCCTCCTCCTCCTCCTCCTCCTCCTCCTCCTCCTCCTCCTCCTGCTTCCCCCTCCTTTCGGGATTTCAAGCGTTGGCTCCTCCCAGTCCAGTGTCCTCCGCCCTCTTCTCTCGTTTCCGCCCCTTTCTTGATGGCTCCCTCCCAGTGCCCTTCATGGTTTCCGCCCCCCTCTTTGGTCCTCCGCCTCCTCGTTCCTTCTTCTCCTTGTGTCTGGGCTGCGGTTCTCGCAGGTGTCGCACCCCCCATGCAGCTGCTCGCGCGACGGGCACCTCCGATCCGAGAACAGCACATCCGATCCTTCCGAGGGCGGCCGATCCGATCTCCTCGTGTGCTTCCTTCCGCTCACAACGTCCTCGGCCCCTCCGGAGGGTCGCTCTGGCTCGGCAGACGCGCCCCAGCGCGGGCGCGCGCCCGCGCTGCGGCGAGGGTGCGAAGCTGCCGCTGCCGCTGCTTCCTGGGCCTCTCCTGGGGGCCCGGGCAGCGCAATCCGGAGCCCGTCAGCACCCAGAGATCCGACGCTCCAAAAAGACCGGGGCAGGCGGTCTTGGGCCGTTTCTCAGCCTCTGGGGGCCCTCGCCGGGCCTCGGGAGCGTCGAACAAGGACCCAGGACGACAAACTGGCCCTGGTGAAGTGGTCCAGACCTCCGGGGCCCACGCGCCGAAAAAATTGGAGCAGCCGAATGTCTGGGCATCGCGCCATCACCCCAGACACCCGACGTCATGATTTTTCAAGAGCGTCGACCCTCAGAGGTTTGACCTGTTCCCCAGGACATGTTTTTCGTCCTGGGTCGTTTTTAGACGGTCTCGAGGGCCTGTGAGGGCCCCCGGACGCCCAAAATAGTGAAAAAACTCCCCTCATGATTTTTTCACTGCCCCAGGGGGTCTGGTTCACGTGCGAATGGGTGTGTGTGTGTGTGTGTGTGTGTGTGTGTGTGAATCGCGCCCCCGAGCACGCGGAGCTGCCGATCGCCACGCACGCCGCCGCGCCCCAGAGGCGCCCGTGCACAGCCCGGGAGCACCGGCCGCGGCCCCACGGTGCCGCTGCCCGTGTCCCTCCCAGGGCACACGTCGGCAAGTGGATCGCTATTTTCGATAAGCTCTCTTGCTACTTTCGGCGCGTATTTCGCTAAAACAAACACCAGGACGGCACGTTTTCCCGCTATTTTCGGCAAGTTTTCTTGCTATTTTCGGCGCGTTTTTCGCTAAAACAAACACCAGGACGGCACCTTTTTCCGCTATTTTCGGCCCCTGGGGGCCCTCGCCGGGCCCCAGGACCGTCAAAAACGACTCGGGATGAAAATCCAGCCCTGGGGAAAGGGTCTGGACGTCGCATGTCTGCTGGGCTGGCAGCCCAGACACCCCTGGGATCCGGGCGGCGCAATTTTACCAGACATCCGGCTGCTCCATTTTTTTCGAGGCGTGGGCCCAGGAGGTCTGGACCACTTCCTTAAGGCTTGTTTTTCGTTCTGGGTCGTTTTTTGGCGCTCCCGAGGCCCGGCGAGAGCCCCCAGAGGCCGAAAACGGCCAAAAACCGCATGGTCCAATTTCCCCAATCAGAGCTTGCCTCTGTATGGGTCCTAGCGGATTCATATGGTTAGGTGACGTGTGCTTGCCGCCGATTTCGGTGGCCAGCCCGGGTGCCCGGGTGCCCGGGGGTGACCGGGTGCCCGGGTGCCTGGGTGCTGGGCTGCCCGGGTGCCCTGGTGCCCAGGTGCCCGGTAGCCCTGTAGCCCTATAGCCCTATAGCCCTATAGCATTATAGCCCTACAGCCCTATAGCCCTACAGCCCTATAGCCCTATAGCCCTAATAGCCCTACACCCCATATAGCCCAATACCCTTATAGCCTTATATCCCTATAGCCCTATAACCCTATAGCCCTATAACCCTATAGCCCTACAGCCGTATAGCCCTACAGCCCTGTAGTCCTGTAGCCCTGTAGCCCTATAGCCTTACAGCCTTATAACCCTATAGCCTTATAGCCCTATAGCCCTATAGCCCTATAGCCCTAACAGCCCTATACCCCATATAGCCCAAAGGCCTTATAGCCTTATATTCCTATAGCCCTATAACCCTATAGCCCTATAACCCTATAGCCCTATAGCCGTATAGCCCTATAGCACTATAGCCAAATAGCCCTGTAGCCTTATAGCCCAATAACCCTATAGTCTTATAGCCCCATTGCCTTAGAGCCCTATAGCCCTATAGCCCTACAGCCCTTTAGCTTTATAGCCCTACAGCCCTATAGCCCTATAGCCTTATAGCCTTATAGCCCTATAGCCCTATAGCCCTATAGCCCTATAGCCCTAGTAGCCCTATACCCCATATAGCCCAATAGCCTTGTATCCTTATATCCCTATAGCCCTATAGCCCTATAGCCCTATAGCCCAATAACCCTATAGCCCTGCAGCCGTATAGCCCTATAGCCCTATAGCCAAATAGCCCTATAGCCTTATAGCCCTACAGCCCTATAGCCCCAGTGCCTTATAGCCCTAAAGCCCTATTGTCCTTGTGCCCTATAGCCCTATAGCCCTAAGACAATTCGGAATGCTTTTTTCTCCGGTGCTCGTTTTTTGAGCGTTGGATCTCCACGGGAGATTTCTGCCACGTTTCGGGCCCCGGGGCCCTTACATATCGATCTGGCTCGAAGAGTGGCGCAGAGAGATGGGGTCCAGGGCTCTGGCCACGATTTGTCAAGTTTTTTTGGGGGGGTGGGATGGGATGGGGGGGGGCACATCCGATCTCAGGATGCTCTCGTCCAGGGGCCCTCGCCAGGCCCCAGCACCGTCGCCCGACGGCTCGGGGTGAAGATCCGGCCCTGGGAAAGGGTCGAGATCTCCAGGGACCCCGCATGGAACACACATCGGGGCATCGCATGTCTGGGACATCGCCAGACATCGCCAGACATCCGGCTGCTCCAAGTTTTGGGATGCGTGGGGCCCGGAGGTCCGGACCACTTCCCCAGGGCCAGTTTTTCGTCCCGAGTCGTTTTTGGACGCTCCCGAGGCCCGGCGAGGGCCCCCAGAGGCTGAAAACGGCCAACAGCCGCCCGCTCCATTATTTGGGGGGGCGTCGGATCTCTGGGGGGGACCCGTGCGAAACAACTCGGGACATTCGGGGGTGGACAGAACCCCCACCCTGACACGTCGACTATTAGTGAGCTGTCCGTCTTCGATTCTCGAGAGGGCTCCGCGGCCGTCCTGTTCCAGGCCTGCGCCCGCCAGGTGTGGGCCCGAGGTCCTTTTCATGAAACCACGTTCTGCTGAAGGGGGCTCTCTCCATCCCCGGAGCGGGGGGGGGGCGCAGCAGGGGGCACTGCGCGGACGGACGCGCGCGATGGGCACGACCTCGTGGAGTCCCGCGCGGACCTCCCGGATCGGCGCTGGGCCCCCCCCCCTGGCCCACCCCCGCGGCGTCGCGTGTCCGGCACGGGTGCCGCTCGCCCGGCTCGGCCCCATCGCACCGCCGCGGCCGAGCGCCGGCCGCGCGCGGGAGGCGGCCGCGCGGTGCGGAGTCTGCGCTGCCCGGCCACGCCCTGCGCGCGCTGCCCCCCGTCTTCCCCCGAGCGAGTCATGGCAGACATCACGGCAGAAGGTTCTTGGCTGGTTTCGGCCCCCGGGAAGGCCCCGCGGGGCCCAATGGCCCTCAGAAGGCGGCGCGGGATGAAGGGCCGGCCCTGGGGAATGGGCCGCGACCTGAAGAGGCCCCCTCGAGTCATGGAAAAAGGCCCCCTCGAGTGTCATGCGCCGCCCAGCCACGCCCTCCGCGGGGGAAACTAGAATGCACCAGTGCTGCTGCTCCCAGGACCTCTCGGGACTCGAGGGACGAGGGTCGATGCAAACGGGGGTCAGTCAGAGCGTCCGTTCTTGCAGGATCCTGCAGGGCCAGGGTCGCACTGACCTGGGCTTGGGTGCAGGATCCCGCAGGGTCCTGCAGGACCTTGCAGGATCCTGCAAGGCCCGACTGACCCGGGTCTGGATTGACCCGTGTCAGCACACCCCCGAACCTCCCCCAGGGTGCAGGATCTCGAGGTGAGTCCAGAGGTGGCGACGAGGGCCTCCCAGGAGGTGGCCCCCCAAAGAGGGGAAAGCCTGAAAAGGGTATCCGACCTGCTGCCGCCGCCGCTG